GGCACCAGAGCTGTGTGGCTCCTGTGCAGAAGCCCCTGGCCAGCTTCATCGTATTTGCCACGGAGATCATGACAGCAGTGACAAGAAGTACAGGGCTGCAAATAGAGAGGCATGACCTTCGCGGGACACAGATATGGCTTATTACCTATTGATGATGACATATATAGTATTCTCAACTGGACTGGTCTGAGAAGCATTTCATGTTGGGTAAAGTCTTTTCACAAGCAAAATGAGAAATAGCGATGGACTGGTTAAAAAATAATTAGAATAATAATCATAATAATCAGGAAAAAATGAAAAGCTATTAGATGATGAAATGGGGATTTTAATGTCTCTGTATTGATTGATATGCATGGTTTTCCACCTGCAAAAAGACATGTAATATGCTGTAAAGTTATATGTGATTCAATGTAATATAAACAAGATTATGATGATAATAAATAATTAAATTTTGTTGGGGGGGGGAGGTTTTCGCTATAGGGCGCGTGCGCTCGCCAGACAGACAGGGAGAGACATAGAGACAGAAAGCGAGAAATCACCCCCCAGAGGGGATGGTCACGCCGCCATCCCTTCTCCTCCACTCTCCTCTCGGGATCTTGGGCACGCACGCACATGCGCCCGGCGTGAGTTTTAAGCCACCGGGTCCGGGACGCGAACCGCGGTCGACTACGTGGGAGTCCAGCGACATAGCCATTACGCTAACTGCTGGTTCCCATAAATAAGTAAATTTTTAAAAGAAAGAAAAAAATTAAAAAAGAAGAAGTACAGGGTGGTACCCAGGGCAGTTTCTTTTGCCCAGACTGTCCTCAGTGTGAGACAAATGACAAAGGCTTTGCCTAGATAGCGTCACAGAGACATTTTACAAAAAGAGTTTCCATCTCTTCCAGAAATAAAGCTCGGTTCGCAAAGGGCTTTCTCATGCACTATTTCGTGTATCACCAAATTGGCTGCTCATGTTGACAGATTATCACTGCAAGTCTAGTCTGGGCCAAGCCCTGTGCTAGGGGCACGGAGTGGTGAGAGGAGCACAGGGTGGACGAGAACTACAGAGATAAAACTGAGCAGCTTATAGTACAGTTATGAGGCAGAATCAAATCTCAATCATCAAAAGGAAAGCAGAGACGGGCCCCGTAACCAAGTGGTTAAGGGAGCCACATCCCGCATGGCCAGTTGGAATCCCAGCCCAGCAGGTTGAAAAACACACTAGCATGTGTGTGAGCACGCCCCAAATCCTGATAGGGTGGGGAGGTGGAGAAGGGACTGCAGCATGAACACGCCCCATTTAGAGGTACTTCCTCCCTCTTTGTCTCTTTGTCTCTTTCTGGCAAGTGCATATACCCTTTGGCAAGTTAAAAAAAGAAGAAGAGGGACCAGCAGTTAGTGTAATGGCTATGTCGCTGGACTCCCACGTAGTCGACTGCAGTTCCCGTCCCAGACCTGGTGGCTTAAACTCACGCTGGGCGTGTGTGCGTGCGTGCCCAAGATCCCGAGAGGAGAATGGAGGAGAAGGGATTGCTGTGTGGCCATCCCTCCTGGGGGGTGATTTCTCGCTTTCTGTCTCTCTGTCTCTCTCTGTCTGGCGAGCACACGTGCACTATAGCAAAAACTTCTTAAAAAAAAAAAAAAGAAGGAAATAAAAAAAGGGAGACAGGAAGGGGACAGCAAAGAATCCCACCACCTCTGGGTTTCATGTGAGACTCGGGCATTCCAGTATGGACCACTGGTAAATCTGTCTTGGGGTTCTGCTTGATGCTGGAGATACTTAGGACATTGTTTCTCTTGCCTGCATTGTCCTCAGGCCCAGAAGAGATCTGCATTTAGAACTTCTCCTCCATTCTTTTCTACAGATGTAGGTAAAATTATCTTTCTAATTTTTTAGCAAAGTATTGAGAACATCTGTCAGGACCAGTGAGTGGACAAAGGTGAGAGGTGGGACTGAAAAAAAATTCCCTATACTTCAAGGCCTTGGGTCCTGCATTCCAGAATAGAACAAAATTCCCAATAAGTCCCATCATCCAGGGAAGGCACTAAGGAGAGGGACTCCCTCTACAAAGCCTTGTCTTTTGTTCTTGCCCTTCTGGCTCATTATAATGGCCTTCTTTGTTGTGAGTCTGTAGCATTGGAAGGCATTGCAGAAAGGGTAGGGACTAGACCATGCCTTAGGTTCCTGAGGCTCTTAGCCTAGAGATGTTTCTGTCTTGTGGAGAAACATAGAATACCAAGACAAAACAATACTGACCTTTAAGGCAAAACTGTCATAAATGGTCATTTATGACCAGATGGGAGTGGGACTCGTGCACACACACACACGTGTGTGTTTCTCTATGTTGGGGAGCGGTGTCAGGATGAAGTTCTTGGGAACTATTGATCCCAAGGAGGGACCAAGCTTCCACGGATCAGAAACACTTGAGCAGAAAGTGGGAAGACTATACGGTCAGCTAATACTTCACTATCAACTTCTGGTCTAGAGCAAAGAAGGCAGAGTTTGCCTCTGAGAACAAGGAACTCCCAAGGTGAATTCCAGGTGCTCAACTCAGGAAGAACTCCCTCCTTCAGACCCCAGATGGGGAGGGGGTTCTCAAGTGATAATGCCAGGGGCAGCAATAGGATACTTAAAAGGAAAAGTCCAGAAAAAGCCTGAAATGTGTGTGTACTCACTGTAACAGAAATAAATATTTTAGGACTCAGAGATTTTTAGGCTTTTGGTTTGCTTATATCTATGTAATGATCCATGTTCGCCCAAAATTCAGATGTTGAAAGCCTGATCCCTGTGTGATGGTATTAGGAGGTAGGAACTTTGGGAGGTCAGTAGGTAATGAGAGTAGTGTCCTCATGAATGGGATTTGGCCTCTTATAAGAAGAGGTCAGAGAACTAGCTTGTCTCATTCTGCCATGTGAGGATACAAAATACGATCTGTCTCCAAACCAGGAGGTGAGCGCTCACCAAACACTTCTTGCTAAGGTTCTGCTGTGCTGCTTTTAATGACTGGAGCCACTCAGTCATTTCTACAATAACATATTCCAGCACATAAACCAGCACATTCCAAAGCCATGATTATGAGCCTCGAAGAAGATTGATGTGGCTTCTCTAACCCTATTCCCGGAGTTAGTGAGAGGGTAGAACTTGACTGGAAATCCTGGAGCAACTATTCTTAGACTCTTCATTGCTTGCAATTGTCTTTGCTAGCCCGGGGTTTCTCTTGCTCAGCCCTGGGCTCATCAGCAGTGGTCTAGTCTTGGAGACTGCTCCAAGCACTCAGCCTCCCTGCCCACCTCACCCACCTGACCTGGCAGTTGCAGAACAAACCACAATCAGCAGTCATCCATCTCCTCCCTGCAATGTCTGGGAGCTTGCCAGATATTATCTGTGTACCTCACGTAGATTTTACTACTTTAAATCTGTCACTAGGGAAACCAAGGCTTGGGGATTGTAAGCAAATTTCTTCAGGGTAAAGCAAATAAATAGGAGTCAGGATTGGAACAGGTCTGGAGTGCTCTAACTTCTCTAGGTGTTATTATACTGAAGTGGTAAGAGCCCCAGAAGGAGAGCACTAATTCATGGAATGGTTCTGTTGTTTGTTTGGTTGTTTGGGAGTACACTTGCACACGACAGAGAGAGAGAGGGAAAGTGAGAAAACACCTCCCAGGCGGGACAGCCATGCTGAGATCTCTTCTCTTCCATTTTCCTCCCGGGATTTTAGACACACACACTGATGTGTTTTTCAAGCCACTGGTATAAGACTCAAATCATGCAGTCAGCCATGTGGGATCCAGTCACCTTAACCTTAGAATGGTACTTTATTATTATTATTTTTTAGAGCTTTTGCCTTAGGGCACACTTGCTCACTGGAGAGAGACAGAGACGGAGGGAAAGTGAGAAACCACTCCATAGGGGAGATGGCCATGCTGCAATCCCTTCTCTTCCATTGTCTTTTCAGGATCTTGGGCACACATGCACATGTACCCAGCGTGATTTTCAAGCTACTGGATCCAGGACTCGAACTGCTGTTGGCCATGTGGGAGTCCAGTGATGTGGCTGCTATGGCATCTGCTGGTCCCTGGAATGGTACTTTCAACAATAGAATTGAGGCAGTCCCTTTTGTTCAGTGGTAAAATTTTCTGAATCTGTTCACATCACGCAGGTGACTGAGGCTTCCTTCTCCTACCTGTAAGGTATCATTCAAACTGGGACTTAGCTGTTACATTCGTTTTTGAAAAGGGTATGACGTGTAAGTACTTTTTTTTTGCCTTTAAAAATGGTCAGTAGACAATGTTTAAACCAAAATCAATATGAAAATATCTATATATACAAAACAATATAACGTATCATTCAAGCACACAAAGTAAACAATTCAAGTACAATAGGGCTCGGTTGACATTTCTCTGGAAAGGTTAAACAGACTGCTTGAAGTGAGTGGGAGAAACCTAGTTTCATAAATGGTACTCCGCTAATGAGCAATCTGGAAACCATATGCAAAGAGTGCTTTCCTGGAAAGAAAATATTTGATCATAGTCAGCAGTAATCGAGTGGAGAATGGTAGGCCATGTCCCGAAACTGCACTGATTTAAAAAAATCTCATGTGAACCTACCATGACTACGTCTGTGAACCCATTTCCCTCCAGGTTGAAGCACTTCTCTAGATTAACCCAGTGGGTTCCTGAGCTGACTCAGCAAGAAGGGAAGGTGCAGCTTTGCTATTGTAATAATGTGGGAAATTGCAGCCCGCGTCACTCACTGTGCTTAAATATTTATCATCAACCTCAGACCCGGGGAGGTATTTAATTGTGTGATCAGAGTTTTAAACATATTTTTCCCCAGTTGAAGGAATTGAAAACTTTGCTATGGTAAGGTAACACAGCTATAGCAAAGGGGTTGGGAGTGGAACCTGACACTTCCTTTCGTCTGGAACTAATGTCCCGATCATAGATCATCGTTCTAGGGAAACCTAGTGTGTGTGAATAAGTCCTGACGCTGAGCTCTCTTCCTTGCCTGGCCCCAGTCTGCCTGGTTAGTGTTTAAGATGCATTGCTGCCTCAAGAAACCTTCCTGTTTCCATGGAAACGAGACCCACATCTGCTGAATAGAACCACTTTCTGGGACCTAGGCTGGCCATCGTCAATCCTGGCTGTACATTGCAACCACCTGGGGAGCCTTGGCAGTACTGATGTCTGGACCTCACTCTCAGAGGTGTGTTCTGATGTGATAGGTCTGGAGGCATTCTCAGCTTTTGTTCATGTTTTCTTTTTAAGTGTATTAATTTATTTCTTTCATAAGTGAGACAGAAGCAGAGAGAGAGAGACTGAGAGCACCTCTGACAAGGTCTTGATGTTGTGATCCACCCCCAGCTTCAGTCAGCTCCAGATCATGGTTCTTGAGTGCCTGGTGTCCACAGAGAAGACTCTGGATACAAACTTACACCCTTTTCATGTGGGTCAACCTCATAGAGTGTTGTGTATTATTGCTTGTCACCCTCTGGCCCCCAGCCTAGGTTTTGTGAACTCCCAGGTGGGGCCAGGTGGTAGCATGGCACTGAAACAACTGAATCCACATAGGAAAGGTTCTGGATTCACATGCAGGGACCTTCCTGAGCATACAGGGAGTGTGAACACATGCTGGTGACCATGGTTGGCTGAGACTGGGGTCGATTGCAAAATGAAGATTTTGTTGGGACTGCCTGTCTTTATTTCTCTCTCTCCTAAGATAAACTTAAAGAAAAGAAACCCAACAAAATAAAAAAAGAAGAGAAATGAAAACTCCCCAGGCAGTTACCATGCAGCTAGTATAATGGGAACCATTATCCCGGGCAGTACACAGCCTTCAAGTCAGTTAATTACCCAAATAAACTAGCTGCTGGCTAGACCGAAGCTGTCCAGAGTGATTGCCCAATCCTGCCTGCTGGGGGAATTGAGATCCATTTCCCAGAAAGTCTTGTCACTGAAAGTTATTAAAGGCTCTCTATCTCATAAGTGTGCTTTCGATTTTCTAAGGCACTGCAGGGACAAGTAGTGTGAAAGTAACCACTGAATTCATTTGACAAATATTTAGCCCTCTGCTCCATTTAAGCTGTAGCCAACCAAAGTTCGAGCCCACCTTTAGGTACTGTACCTGGCAGCAGAGGAAAGAACTCAAGCAATGTGAAGTGAGGGTCACCAAGTACCATCGGAGAGGGTGTGATGCAGAACCATAAGAGGAGAGGGAGAGAATTGCCTATTGCTCCTTGTTGGAGGGGTGGGAAGACCTTAGCACAGCCTTGGGAAGAAGTGACCTAATACTTGGGATGAGTCTTGAAGGGGTGGAGGGGAAAAGAAAGACTTGAGCTGGGAGAGAAAGGAGAATGGTATTCTGAGTGGTGGGAACTGTGGGAGCAAGCAGACGTACCTGTTTTGAACAGGTAGGGGCAGCCTCAGTGGTTCAGTGGTAATGCAATGCTTCACGATGTCACATGGTAAGTTCCCAGGTTCACATCCCAAGTCATCTCTGTGTATGTTAGGTGTGCCTACCTGTGTCTTTGTTCCTGGCTGGCTACGGCTAGGGGTGGATTCTGGTGTGAGGACTCTCTCCCTTTCTCTCATAGAAGAAAGAAACTTGAAGAAAAAATAAGATTAAAAAAAAAACAAATATAAAAAAAGGTAGAGTCATGAGAGATTGCAGAAGGTCTGAAATGTTAGACTGAGTGGTCTGGATTTAATTCAGAGACAGTGGGGAGCCTTGCATGACCGGTCCTCAATTCCAAGTTTTAAGCAAAGGGCAAGTAAGGGCTTGCTGAGTGCCTTTTACCGGATAATCTGGATTGTTTATTTAAAAAAATTGTGTTTTTGACTCTGGTTGAACAGTGGAAAAGAATGGCATGTAGGTTCCTCGGCCACAGCGTCACTGTGCTGTATCGGCAAGGCAGGTGAGTCGCGTTAGGGTGGTTCAGACTTTGCTGTCCTTATTCTTTGCCCTCCTTTTCTCCAGCTTCCATCACTTTCTTTGTCCCTTGTCGACCCCTCTGTTTCTGCATATAGTTGACAAGATTGTCTTTTTTCCCCAAGTAATGTTGGTGTGGCGAGTAATAACAACAAAACCCTGAAGACAGAAAGATAAATGTGGCTATTAAGAGGTTGGAATTGGGACAGCAGGTAGCCTGGAGGTCAAGGCCCTGGATCCCACATGGCCTCGGTGTGGTTCGAGTCCTGGACCTGACATCACACTGGGTACGTGTGAGTGCAAGAGGAGAATAGAGGAGAAGGGATTGCGAGTTGCCGTCCCCCACTCCTAGCAGTGTGGGGGGAACTTCTCGCTTTTTCTCTCTGTCTGGCTCTCTCTGGCCAGCACACATGTCCTATAGCAAAACCAAAAACAGGTTTGTAATGTCAGCACAGTATTAACAATCTTTGACCATACTGACTCATAAGTAAATACAGTAATTGTTGTTTTGTTTATCTGCTTTTATTTTCAAAATGTCAAGATAACATGTAAGGGAAGTGTCCATGGCTGACACGTCTGCAAATGACTTACCTGCCTGGATCAATTTTATTGCATCTAAATGCTCCTTAGCATATCCTGAGAATTTTACCTATAAGTGAGTTTGTAAGTGATAGCCTGAAAGGAGAGTAGAGAGATCAGCTTCCTTGTAATTAGGATCACATCATCTGAGTCTGCTTTAAATGATCAGAAACTATTATTGAGTGCCTTGCATGGTGTTAGAAACCTTAGACACAAAGAAAAAAAAAAATGGAAGAAAAGCCATCTACTGTCTTGACAGGCTCTCTTCGGCTGTGTTGCTCTTCCTCCGTTGGGAGAAATGAGTAAGATCAGGTTAGCCAATTTTCTGTTTGTTGCCCTTGCTAACATTTTCCTAGGTATAATTTGCATGTCTATAATTTCTCAGTTCTAAGTCTTACTGTTCTCCTGTTAATTTATAATTCTATTGTGACATGTGTTTGCCCAAGGCTGAAAGACTAACAACAAATGGGGAACAAATTAGGTTTATATTGTCATTCCTGGGCTGGCTCCATGGCCTGGTGGTCAGGGCAGCTGGATCCCTTATGGCCAACCACGTGGTTTGAGTTCAGGACCTGGCAGCTCAGAAAACCCACCAGGCGTGTGGATGGGCCCCACTTCCTGAATGAAGGAATAAATGGAGAAGAAAGGATTGAGGAGGGAGTGATCGTGCCCCATGGGGGTGCTTTCTCCTTTCTCCCTTTCTCTGTCGCTGGCCAGTATACCCAACCTCTCACAAAAAAAAAAAAAAAAAAAAAAAAAAGAGTTAAAAGGTAATGCTTAATTACACGTCAATCTTAGATACATGACTAAGTAAAGAAACAAAATATCAGAAAGTCTTAGCTTTACATATTTGGCAATATTGTCCCATAACCTACATTTTCTCATCAAACCACATGTCTAATTTTGGATTAGAAGACATCCTTGGGACCAGCAGTTAGAGTAATGGCTATGTCGCTGGACTCCCACATAGTCGACCGCGGTTCACGTCCTGGACCCAGTGGCTTAAAACTCACGCCGGGCGCGTGTGCGTGCATGCCCAAGATCCCGAGAGGAAAATGGAGAAGAAGGGATTGCGGCGTGATCATCCCCCCTGGGGGGTGATTTCTCGCTTTCTGTCTCTCTGTCTCTCTCTGTCTGTCTGGCGTGCACACGTGCCCTATAGCAAAAACCTCTAAAAAAAAAAAAAAAGACATCCTTATTCTACTTACTGGTACATCTGAATCTGAAATCAAAGCACCTTCTCTGCCTGTCTTTGGGACAACCAAATAATATGGGTTGTCAGAAAAGTCAAGATGTATTTTTCTATGCAAAAGTGTGTCACGACTTTTCTGATGACCTGATATAATGCGAAGCTCTTACTGTGTGCCAGCCACCACGGTAAACACTTGATCTATACTTTCAGCACCCTGCAGGTGGGCAGGACTGGCCTCATGAACAGCTGTGGGAACTAAACGTGATGAAGCACAGCTGGGAAGAGTAGGGCTGGCGGCCGCCCAGTGCCTCTCCTATCAGTGACTCAGTGCTGTTCATGGTGTCGTCAGGAAGGGCATTTGTTGCACAGCTGTGACTTGGCTTTACGAAATAAAACGCATGCAGATGAGACAGTGTGGTTACTTCCAGCTTCTCTGATCAGTAGGTGGCTGTCAACATTTCTCTTCAGCCATTTCTGCACTGGAACAGTCATTTCTGAATTTCCATCCTAACTTTCTTCTGGCAGTTTCTGGTTTCCTGCTTGTTTACTTTGGTGCCCCTCGCCTTGTACCACAGAGAACTTAAGGCAGCTTGTTGCCTATTGAAATGGGTGTCCAGGTCTGCTTAGGAATGCAGAATGTGGTAGGTTTTTCAGAAACTGTGGTTGTACATTGGAAACACTCAGTCAGAAAATATTCACTCTGTCTAGTTTTGAGCACTTGAATTTTAAGATTCACTCTCGTTTATAAAAATCTTGGATAAGTACCCAAGCTGTTACCTCCTGGAATTTTCCTATCAAAATCAGCCACCCATTGGCAGGGTAATGAATGTATTTAATTGAAAGTATCAAGAAGATATACACAAAAGTGCATACCAAGAAAAATATGCCTTTTGTGTATCAAAAACTCATAGTTTAATTTCATTTTTTTCCATGAAATTTTTGAAGTCCCTCTATCTGGCGTTTGCCTCTTCTTCCCAGCACGGAGCTCCTAATCCCTTGCAATTCCCTGGGTGACAGGAGTGTGTTTTGTTCTAAAGAGGTGACTCTTGGTGGGCTCCTGGTTCAGAGCTGGTCACCATAAAATCCAAGCCATGAGTGGAAGCTTGGAACTTTCAGCTCTGTCTTTCACCCTCTGAGGAGAAGGAGAGAGGGGCTGGAGATTGGGTTCCTCATCAATCAGGCCTAGGTGATGAAGCCTCCAGAACAATTCTGGAACTGTGGGGTTCTAGAACTTCTGGTTTTCCCAACCCAGGTAGAGTAGCCTGCCTGGAGAGGGCCTGAGGAGTTCTATGTTCCTTCCCACATACCTTGCTCTGTGAATCTCTTCATCTGGCTGTTTATGTACCCTTTATTATGGGACAGACGTAAGGTTTCTCTGAGTTTTGTGAGCCTGAATTCTTTGAGCCATTCTAGCAAATTATTAAACCTGAGCGGTGGTCAAAAGAACCTTTGTTTATAGTCAGTCAGTGGAAATATGCAAGTGCAAGCCATCTAGTGTGGCATGGTG